TATATAGAGAGAGAGAGAGAAACCCCTTTTTGAAAATGATGCGCGACTATGCCCGAAACAGCCATGAAAGTATTAATCATATATATGAGACTAGGCGTGTCCGTTGACGGTGTCACGATTATGGCACATAAATTGTAAATTAGATCGTTTCCGTTGACAACCGCTCGTTGCGGGAAGGAGAGAGAGAAAGAGAGAGAGAAAGAGAGAGAGAGAGAGTCAGTCACGTGCGTATTTACATACATGTTCAACACCTGGCACAACTATATGTAACGAACCATTTATAAATATGTGTATATGTATGAATCGTATATATAACGTCATTATTTTTGTTACTGGATTTTACTTCGTTAAAAATCTTGACATCCACATGTCACACATGTGAACGCATCAATTTTCATTTTATTTTGTCACTTTTCTAACTAGAAAAATAAACGTCCTCACTAATGTCAAATCAAACAGTTTATTTCATTTTTTTTTTCATTGTATTAAAGCCCGAGAGTTTTAACTCATTTTAAAGAATTTTCGTATTTATCTCTTTTATAAATATATATATATATATATATATATATATATATATATATATATATATATATATATATATATATATATTTGTATTTAAAGCGTGTTTTATGATGATAAATTTATATAGAAAATTCATCAACTTTTCATCGTTATTATCTGTTTCTGCCTGATTGCCCTCGGGCAATTTTTTTTTTTTTTTCAATTTTTTATATCACACGCTTCTGAATATTAAATGGGTATTACAGTAGCACCTCGAAAAATCGGATATTTTAACTGGAGGATACAATTTTTGATATAGGAGGAATAATTTATTATTATTATTATTATTATTATTATTTCATTTATTTAGTTTTATTGTGGTGCATGATTATTCCATAAAAATTAATTTTGAATTAGCAGAATTTTTAGGAACCGAATTTTTAAAACTTCGAATTTTCATTTGTCCGAAATTGCAAATGACCAAAAAAATTTCGGCGCGATTTTTAAAATCATTTATAAAAACTCGGTATTACTTATTTTTATAACATTGTATGCAGTATTTCTGTGCGGTATTTATAAAAATTTATATATTTACCTTTGGAAAAGCATTTTATTCTATAAATTTTTCATAATATCGAAACGATTGACTGATTTTGTGAAATTGTTCACCTATTGAATAAGAGAAAAAAAAAAAAAATCAAGAGAAGAGAGTGGGATTTTATTCAAACTAAAATCTTCTTATAAGCCTTTACATTTTCTTTCAATTCAAGCTTCGTTTCCTTTTTTCTATAGAGAGAGAGAGAGAGGTAAGTTTCTTATTTATATATTTTCAGTCTTTGAAATCTTATATATATGAAACTACTTGTCTCTCAAGCGATTAATTTGTTCCAACAATAAATACTGTTTTGCTTTCTTGTATTTTGTTGATTATTGTTTTCTTTCATTCTTTCTCTATTTCTGTCTTTTTTTTTTTTTATTGTTCATCAGATGCGGTGAATCTTGAATCATTCGCCTTAAAAACATGTCAGTCGAATGATCGCAATCACCTTTTTCTAGTCTGGTGCACCGACATTGTTGAACGTATTATTTCCCCTGGAATATATTGGGGGATAGGTTATGAATACTTCAGTGTTTTTCAAAGAGATCGATGATTGGCGACAAACCGTACAGTCACATCGTGTACGTATGTTATATGTGTATATATAGAGTCCTTCTCTCTCCTCTTCTCCGGAAACAATACTGACATTCAAAGTTGAGTATAAAAATGCATCGTGTGTGTGTGGTGGTAGCATACTAAAAAGTGAAAAATAGAACCCAATTTAAAAAAAAAAAATTATTATTCTTTTTTGCAAGAAAATGTAAATGTGAAATTAAATTTTTTTTTCGTGTCTTTTGTGAAATTGTAATTATTTTACATTTTTAGGGGTTAGAGAAGTCAAATAAGTCAGGAAAAAGTCGAAAATTTTGTTTTTTGGGCTTTTTTAATAGCAAGTTGCGGATTCCGCGAAATTAGATCACGAATTATGTGAAAGAAGATCACGGAATTCGCGAAATTAGATCATGGACACCACGAATTTAGGACGCGAAATTGGATCACGGAATTCGCGAAAATAGGTCGCAGATTACGCGAAATTAGATCACGGAATTCGGGAAAGTAGGTAGCTAAATTAGATGACAGATTCCGCGAAACTAGGTGACGGATTACGTGAAACTAGTTTGCTGAATTGGATCACGGTTTCTGCGAAACTAGATGGCGAACTACGCGCAATTTATTAGATCAAGGATTCCGCAAAACTAGGTGACAAATTACGCGAAACCTAGTGACGGCTTACGCGAAATTAGGGCGCGTAATTAGATCACGGACACCACGAATTTAGGACGCGAAATTGGATCACGGAATTCGCGAAACTAGGTCGCAGATTACGCGAAATTAAATCACGGAATTCGCGAAACTAGGTCGAAGATTACGCGAAATTAAATCATGGAATTCGCGAAAGTAGGTAGCTAAATTAGATGACGGATTACGTGAAACTTGTTGGCTAAATTGGATCACGGTTTCCGCGAAATTAGACCATGAATTCCGTAAAACAAGGTGACGGATTACGTGAAACTAAGGTGCGTAATTAGATCACGGATTACGCGAAACTGGAAAGCGAAATTAGATCACGGAATTCGCGAAATTAAATCACGAATTCCGAGAAACTACGTGACGGATTACGCGAAACTAAGACGCGCAATTAGATCACCGATTACGCGAATTCCGAGAAACTATGTCACGGATTACGCGAAACTGAGAAGCGAAATTAGATCACGCAATTCGCGATATTAAATCACGAATTCTGAGAAACTAGGTGACGGATAACGCGAAACTAAGGCGCGTAATTAGATCACGGATTACGCGAAACTGGGAAGCTAAATTGGATCATGGAATTCGCGAAATTTACTCACAAATTCCGAGAAACTATGTGACGGATTACGCGGAACTAAGACGCGAAATAAGATAACGGATTACGCGAAACTAAAGCGCGAAATGAGATTGCGGATTACGCGAAACTAGTGCGCGAAATTAGATCACGAATTATGCGAAATTAGGTAGCATAATGAGATCACGGTTTTCGTGAAACTTGGTCACGGATTACGCGAAATTAAATTATGGTTTTAACGAAAATAGATCACGGAATTTGCGTAATTAGTTCACGAATTCCGCGAAATTAGATCGCGGATTACGTAAAATCAAAAAAATTTTTTTTTTTTTATTATTATTTCAACACCAAAATAAATGTTTCTTTTTTCGATTTTTCTGTATAATATAAATATATAGTTTTGAGGGATCATTTTCCATGGACGTGTGAGATATCGACGCTGTCATAAAATTGCTTAGCCAAATGGAAAATTGCTTACTCCTTTGAAATGAGACTGTTACGAACTTTATTCGGTGAGTCAGAAATAGTAATCGATGATTCAGTATCTTTAGATTGAACGATACTCATCGTCTTTATATATCGGTTTCTGTTCTCTGTGCAAAAAAAAAAAAAAAAAATAATAATAAAACCCCAGAGTAAGTCATCACTTTTATAAAAATCTTATATTATAATATTATATTCAAGGCAAATAGAGTTTGTGTCAGTAAAATCAAAAATTTTTTTTTTTTTCTTTTAATTTTTTCAATTAACAAATATTACTGATTTTTATTTTTATCTTTTACTTTGGCTTCTTTTTTTATTTTTTGTATTTTAATTATTCATTTTATTATTTTTTTTTTTTTATTATTCAGTTTATTATTTTTTTCCATTATTTGTTACGTTTTCGAGGGAAATTAAAAATAAAATACATCCGAGTAAAATATTAAACAAATTGTTTTCATTTTAATGGAAATTTTAACTAAATGGCAAGCAAATAGAAAATGAAAAATAATAATTTTTCAATATCTATATAAATGTAATAAAATCAATATTAATGGAAATCAATATATATATTTGCAATGTTCGTTAAAAAAAAATGTAATTTACAATATTTAAAAACATATTTTTCTCTTTTTTGAAGTTAAAGTAGAAAAAAAAAAATTTTTGTTTTTCTTATAGAATTATAATAAATCAATGAATTTTTGAGCGATTTTAATTTTTTTTTTTTTTTTGAGACATTGTAAATTTGATTGAAAATAAATTATCGAATATTCTCAAGAGGGATGTATATGTGTCGCAATAAATTTTCTCATTATCACCTTGCAGAACTTGAAATATATATAGAGTTCATTACAATAAATCACGCCAAAGGGGCGCGCAAGTAATCAGAAACACTTAGTTTGAGTGTTGAGTTTACGTGAAAATCAGTTGCAGACTCGGAATGACGAGACAGCGTATCTAGTTTGTTATAAACTCTATCTCTCTCTCTCTCTCTCTTGCTCCTAGTTTCCTAAGCTGATACATTCAAAACTAGTATATGTCAGAATATCCTCCAAACACTTGTCAAATAATTAAAGCAATCTGCAATTTCCAAGAGTGATCTATATGCATCATTTTCGAACAGCTTATTAGAAAATTGTATATATATATATAGTCTCTTATTATCCCCCCCAAAAACTCCAATAACGAGAAAATGGAATTTCAAACGGAAATTGAAAATTACAATTTGATATTGTAGTAAAAAATAGTATTAAAAGATTTTTTTTTTTTTTTTAAATATATGTTACGAAAAAAAAAACTAATTCACCTTCGATTTAATTTTTCTCAATGAAACGAAAAAGTCATGTTCTTTTTTTCTTAAATTGAATTTTAAATCCAATTAAGTAACAATGAGTTGAATTTATTTTTCCAAAGAAACTTTTTTTTTTTCTATCTTCCTCTCTCTCTCTCACTTCGAAGAAAGTGTTGCTCTATTGTGTCGATGAACTTTCATTTGAGAGGAAGACTTCTTTTTCAATCAAGACGAGTTTTTCTTGTCTTATTGGTATATCAAATAAACTTGTAGTAATAAATTCTTGTCTTTTTTTTTTGTTGCAGGTACGATTCTCTCTTCTATTTTTTTTTCTTTTCTTACACTCTACAACTTCCTTCGATCGCCTCAGGGGAGATTCCCAGGTCAAGTATTGAGAAAGAGAGGGACGTGTGTATAAGTGAAATGTGCGGTACGTATACATATATATATATATAGAATATAGTTCCAATCGTAAATCGTGGCACGATAAAACACAGTGCTATTGCAGGCATATTCTAAGCGAAACTACTACCATCGGGACTATTGTGTTGCGCATCGAGCAATGAGGTACCTTTTGAGATTTATGATCTTTATATACCAATCTAGAGGGGGGTGGGGGGGGTGGGGGTTGAAAATGCGAATCTCGCTTCACTTTCTGACAAATGGGAATTGCTAAATACTTCACAGACTCATTCCAATTTTATTTAAATTACACTATACTTTGCAATTTGACGAATTTTTTTTTTTCTTTTTGAATTACTAAAGCCATTCAAATATTTTAATAATAATATTAACAATAATATGAAATGAAATTTTTTTATAATAATCTGAATTATAACAATAAATATTTAACAAATAATAATAATAATAATAATAAAAATAATAATAATAATAATAATAAATATATAATAACAATTTTTTAATAATTAAAAAAGTATAAAAACATTTGATTATCTACACGGAAAAAAAATATTTACCTGGAACAGCGATAAGTTTCACTGTAATACCAATATATTTCACTAAAACAGCTAAAATATTCGCTATTCTAGAGAAATATATCGCTGTTCCAGTTAAGGATTTTTTTTCTGTGTAAATATAAAAATAATGATCTATCAAATTATAATACACTGAAAAAAATGATTTAATTCAAATAATTCGTTACTTAATTATAATTAAATAAATATTTATTTGAACCAAATAATTTTTTTTTGAATTAAATAAATTATATATAAAAATAATGATCTATCAAATAATTATAATACACTGAAAAAAAAATTTATTTAATTCATATAATTGGTTACTTAATTATTATCAAATAAATATTAACTTGGATCAAATAAATATTTACTGGAATCAAATAAATATTTACTTGAAGCAAATAAATAAATATTTACTGGAACCAAATAAATATTTACTTGTACCAAAGAATTTTTATTTGAAATAAACAAAATATAATTTTTGAACAAAAATTTTTTTATTTGAAACAAAGATCATTTGATTCAAAGAAATATTTATTTGATAATAGTAAAGTAATGGATTATTTGAATTAAATAAATTTTTTTTAGGAGTAGTAGAAAAAAAAAATTATATATAATAATAATTTTTCATAAAGAAAAAATAATATTTACAATTTTTTTATAACAGGAAAGTTTTAATTCGATAGATAAAATTTCAAAAGTAACGCGATTTATAAATTCGAATGTCAATAATATTGTGATAGACAAAATGCAGTCGGATGAATATTTTCAGATGTAAATTTTTTTTTTTCTCCCTTTTATCTCGTTTCTACCTTCATAAAAATTGATGAAAACAAATTATTTGTTTCCTTCTGTATTAAAATTATATTTTAAATACAGAATCAAATATTTTTATATATTTATTTTAATATTTTTTAATATTTAACACTAAATATTAATATTTAACACTAAATATTAATATTTAACACTAAATATTAATATTTAATACTAATTATTATTAATATTTAATACTAAATATTTATAATTTGCAGTGTTATTTGTTAAATTATTATTATTATTTTTGTGGATGGGGGGGTGTCAGGACAGGGTTAAATATTTTTAAATATGTAATTTAATTTTTTTTAAATTTTGTTCAAAAATCGTTATTTTGAAATGCAATTTTGTGCAGAGATTTTCACGAATTTTTTTTTTTCATTTTTTTGCGACTGATGATGAAGAAAAGAGAGAGGGGGGAAATAACGAATTTACAATAATGGCATATATTGGTGGGTAGAAAAGGTGTTCGGGCGAAGACTAGTCAATTATTGAACGTAACTGGTCTATTGACTCCCCCCCCCTCTCTCTCTCTCTCTCTCTCTCTCTCTCTCTCTCGATTTTTCAGTGTGTGTTACCCTTTGATGTCAAACTATATATATATATATGGAAAACCCTTTAACCTCCGAACGTAAAATTGCAAATTGTTTGCTCGCGCTACAACGAATTTTGCCCCCGTGTTAAAATGTTATATTATAAATACACACAATTTATGAAAAGCAATCCAATAATTTTCTCGCCTTTAAAATATCCACAAAATTAATTTCACTTTAAATTCAATTTTAGATTTTCCAAATTAATTTCTGTATTAAATGATATGTTTTGATTGAAATTAAAAAATCAAGTAGTTTTCCATGTAATATTAGGAAAAAAAAGATAACGAGAAAATTTTTTCCCACTTTTAAAGTATAATGAAATTTAATTATCAAATCGATTTTATTATTTTTTTTTTAAATTATTAATGATCAAATTAACATAGAAACACTATTTGTGGCGATAAGAAAATAAAATCAAGGGATAATTGTATTAAAAGAATTTTTTCAATACAAAATTTGCATATATTTTTAGATAATAGCAAACATCATTTATTCTGAATTTTTGTGCGATAAAAAAAAAGATTATGAGTTGGTTGATATGCAAAAAAAAAAGAAAAGAAAAATGAGAAGATTAACGTGGGGGAAAGAAAAAGTTTATATATATATATATATATATATATATAGTAGTGGCTCATCGAACGAGCAGCGAAAAAATTCAATTCTAAATTCAATATCTTTTATAACGACCCTAGTGATTCATTTTAAAAGCCAATACCTAGGGCGGCATCCCGTGTGGAAAAATCTTGTGGAAGTCTAGCGTCTAGAAATAGTCTTTCCAGTCATAGGCAAGCACGTCTAAACTAGTCGGTCTTGCTATTCGCTAAGAAGCGTTTCAATGGACGTAGTCGAGTTCGTCTTATCTAGACCGTTTTTCAAGACTCAGGCCAGCGACTTTACAGCGCTACTTGACAAACGTATAGGTTATGGTCGTTTGCGGTTGTCAGTGTACTTTTATAGTTGTTGCACTTTTGTGAAATTCTTTTTTTTTTGAAATACTTTTGTAAAATGCTTTTGTAAAATACTTTTGTAAAATACTTTTGTAAAATACTTTTGTGAAATACTTTTGCAAATTACTTTTGTAATTGTGTACAAATATTTTTAAATTTTTGTGAAATACTTTTGCGAATTACTTTTGTAATTGTGTACAAATATTTTTACAATTTTTACTAATTACAATTTAATATATTTTATAATTAGTAATTAATATTATTTAAATTATATTTATATATTGCTGTTAATTTCAATAAAAATATTCTTTGTTTTTTTATAGATTTTTGAAATTTATTTTTTTAATCGAAGAAAAAACTTTGTCACGAATTTATTTATTTTTATATTATATATCCATTAACATAACCTCAAACTAAAAAGTAGTTTTTAACAAAACTAAAAATATATTTAAAATTTATTACACCCAAATTCGACATATCCAATTGTACAATATATATTAATTTAAATAATATTAATTACTAATTATAAAATATATTAAATTGTTATTAGTAAAAATTGTAAAAAATATATTATTTAAAAATATTTGTACACAACTACAAAAGTAATTCGCAAAAGTATTTCACAAAAGTATTTCACAAAAGTATTTTACAAAAGTGCAACAACTATAAAAGTACACTGACAACCGCAAACGACCATAACCTATACGTTTGTCAAGTAGCGCTGTAAAGTCGCTGGCCTGAGTCTTGAAAAACGGTCTAGATAAGACGAACTCGACTACGTCTATTGAAACATCTTTATTATAGATTATTTCAATATTATTCATTATAATTATACCTATAATATTGTAATAATTAAAGAATTATTATTTGATACATTATAGAGATGATAAATCATAAATATAACGTAAAAAACAATATTATTATTAATATATATTATATTATAATATTATTAACAATAAAGGCAATGGATATGGCTTTTATATAAATAGAAATAATTTTATAATTATATTAAAAATATATATGTAATTTAAGGATAAAAACATTTTGAATTTAGCATAAAGGCGCGCCAAAAACATCACCGGTATTAACAGATTGTCGCCAAGTAGCCAGCGTGGCCCCGTGGTTAGCGTAGTAGGTTTGCGAGTGTTAGGTCGTGGGTTCGGTGCCCAGTGCGAGCGAGATTTTTCAAATTAGATTAGGTGTTATTTCCACAGGTGTTGTTAATTAATCTTAAGTGATAATATAAAAATAGTAAAAAACTTCGGATTAAATTAATTAAATAATAATAAATTTTTTTTGAAATTACTAATAATAATTAAATGAGGAGATAAGTTGTCTTGACTTATAAGATTCCAATACAACTTATCTCCTTATTATTAATAAATTAAAATCATATTATTAATGAATACTAATGTTGTTTTAATTTTATCTATAAATATAATAATACGTAATATTAATAGGATTATTATTATTATTACTATTATTATTAAGAATTATTGAACGCGAGAATCAAGACCTGGCCAGCTTGTCTAACTCTAGACCGTAGCATGGAACTTTCGTTCCATTTCTGATCGGGGGCTCGACAAGACCGTCTGGCCTGGGTCTATAGAGACGTTAGACAGTCTGTCCAGGGTCCTACCAGCGCCCCGAAATTTTTCCACACGGGATTTGTGACGTATCAGGAACTCTCTCTCTCTCTCTCTCTCTCTGTCTCTCTCAAAAAGACCCACAAGTTTTCGAAGGTGGTGGTTAGCTTTGTCGTTTCACGAAGATCGTCATTTTGTAATCTTCTCAAAATAGGAGAGCTTTCAAAATCTCGTAAAATACCAAACTGAACGTCCGTAAGAGAGAAAAAGAGAGAGAGAGAGAGTTCCGATTCTGACCGAAAGCCCTGATTTCGTCTCTCAACACCGACCTTATCATCGCCCTGCCAGATAGAGAAGAGAATCGTCCAAAAGTTATGAAATGTTAGGAAGAAAATGAATTTTCCCTTCAATCAGCGCTAGCTTGCACATTCTCCTTGAAATTTTCCCTCTTTCTCTTTCGTTTGTTTTTCTCACTCCTCTATCTTTAGTGGAGAAATATAATCCCCCTCCT